GATGAGTTATGAATCTTGAGAAGGAGACCGAAAAATAAGAGTTAAATTATAATAAGTCCTAAGTGAGGACACAGCAAGAAAGTGGTGTAGCCAGAGGAGGAAAGCTTCACCAGAAACCACCTTGATCTTGGACCTCACATCTCCAAAACTTTGAAAAAACAAATTTCTATTGTATAAGCCATCTGCCCTATGGTATTTCTATTATGGCAGCCTAAGATGACTAAAACACTAACCAAAGTAGTTTCCCCTTTTGACCATAAGTCTTTTTGCTGTAGACTGGAGAGGCTAGACTAGATATCTTCTTATGCTAAATTCTAAGTTTGTATGGACAGAATCCACATCATTTCAGTAAATTAGACAATGTGAAATTTTTGAAGTATAAGTATATGAGATTTTTTTTCTTAGGTTTTTATAGATTTTCTCTTGGATTATATATTTACAAATTTTACTGCCATAGACAGGAGTCATTTTTGTTTATTTTTAGGGAGGGTACCATGGATTGAACCCAGGGGTGCTTAACCACCAAGACACATCTTCAGCCCTTTTTTGTATTTTATTTAAAGATAGAGTCTCATTAAGTTGTTTAGGGCCTCACTAAATTCCCGAGGCTGGCATTGAACTTGAGATCCACCTGCCTCAGTCTCCTGAACCACTGGGATTACAGGCATGAATCACTGCACCTGGCTATTTTTCTTTACAAATCATTTTTTTTTCTGGTAACTAATCTTCCATATCACAAAGGAGGTAAACTTATTTTAGTTCCCCCTCTCATAAGTTCTACAGAGAGGTAATGGATGTATCTTTATATATTTTGGGTGATGCCTATAATACTCTGTCACTAATACCATGAGATGGCCTTCAGGTTATATAGAGCTTTTACTTTCACAGTCTATGTAAATGGTGAATATTAGAAATACAGTGCAATTACATTATCATGTTAATCCTAATGACTTAAACATATCTAAAACTTTCTCCATAGTGAACATACATGTTTTCTTTGGAGTTCTTCAATGATATATTTTACATTTGTATGTAAGCATACCATTGTGTTGTATCATAATTTTTGTGTTTTGCTTAGCAGAATGCCTAGAAAGTCACAATACTAGTGAAAGAGTTTCAGAAGTCTCTGGACAGTATACGAAACAAAGATTTTAGGCTTTTTAAAGTTATTAAGTGAGCTGTGATTTTTCCCCAAAATAGCCAAGATATCCAAACTAGTATACAAAAGACTAAAAATTTTACAACTTGCCTACCATGTTATTACTTGTTTCCAACATAAACCCAATATTCCAGGCAGTGTGGTTTTCTAATTTATTCTCATATATATCATGATTACTCCTAGTTGTGTATCATCATTAAAAAGAACTAGCATTTGTTTAACATTATAATTTCTCAATGTATTCTATCATAAATTCATTTTATTTGACCTGAAAACAACCACATGAAAATAAACAGGGGTCAGTGAATTTCCTCATGTGCAGATGAAGAAACTGAGAGTCAGAGTGGGGAATAGCCTTAGCCATGAATGTTTGGCTGATAATTGCCAAAGTAGTAACTGAAATGTGCTTAGTTTCTAAGCCCGTGGCACTTTCCTCTTGGGTACAGCTATGGCTTTTCTTCTTTTACCCTAATACTTTCTACTCTTCAAGATCTTTCTATCTCAATTTTCTAACATCATTCCTCTGAACTCCTAATCTGAGTGGTCATTAATTTTTGCAGTTATTGACAGTGTGCCTTGTGATGTCACATGATATTTTCTATGTATATTATTTAACTGTTTGCATGCTCCTGGTACACAAACCCATCAGGTTTGTTTTTTCTTTGTGTGTTTGTGCCTGCCTGATACCCCTTCAAATTTGGTATCCCTATCTTTGGCAAGAGTATTCTGTAGGTCAAGATCTGTCTGCCATTACAGGTAGTCTTGGTAGCACTGTTACTCAAGGTTCTTTGCTCTCCCCTTGGAAAAGCAGTGGCCCCGTAATACATTCTAGGTTAATTACACTTTAATTACAATATAAATGATCAGGGAAAAGAAAAGAAAATGGCTGGGGTTCTTACCTCCCAAAGGCAACATTCTTAAAAGATTTTCCTTCATTACTGCTACCTGAATTCTCTAGGCTGCCACAATTGGTATTCTTTTTAAAGGCCAACTTCTTCAGCTTTACCCCAATTTCTAGCTGAACTACCTCATATTCTTCCAGCAAATTCTATGTTTACCTTGAATCGAGCAGAATCACTTTCTATTGTATGCAAAGATCCTTATATAAAATACCTACAAAGCTTAGCACTTAGGGAGTGCTCAGTATTTTTAAATGCTTTGTTCTTATGCAGATTGTATATGCTATTACATCTTGAAAACAAAAATAACAAATGTCTCTGAAGTACAGCTTTGCTATTGGTTAGAATTTTAATAACCAATAGGCAAGTACAAGGCAAACTAACATGTAGAACTCATCTCCACTGAAATGATTTTTATTACAGTTCAACACACTTGTTTGGTAACTCACAAAGTGATAATTCACTGCTGAAATTAATAAAGCATTTTGTGGTGAGGGTGGTACTTAAAGTAACGATACCCTTTAAGTGTTATCATTTGGTTAACCGATTTGTTTTCCTTTTCTTCCCAAATATCATAGCAGCCAATTGTGACCATCTGAATTTTTTATATTACCTTACTCTTAAGACATATCTGATAAGTTTAACTGTTTATATCAGGACTCCTTTTTAACTAGGAAAATATTTTAATGTACATTTTGGCTTCTAGTAAAATGCAGTTGATTATATTTAAAAATCACTGAGAAAGGAAATTAACATAAGAAAAATTAGGTGAGTAAACACTAAACAGGGAATTATCCCTGCTATTTTGTAAATAAAAAAAAAACTCAAAAAAGAAAAATCAACCAAGTAACCATTCATGACATAAATGAAATTTAGCAGCAATTCTAGCTAATAATAAATTTGTAGTTAATTCCATTTTGTATAGATTATAGACCTAAGCGCTTTCTATGTACTTCAGTAATTTTTTTGTCATTTTTAGATATCTATATCTATGCAGAATCCTTTATATTCTAGGAATATAATTTAAATTGTATAAATTATGGGAATATCATTTTTGTATATGACATTTTGCTTTATTAATGACAACTATTTCCCTATAATTATTTACCAGAAGATAAAAATTCTACTGAAAAGTGGGAGGGGAAGTATTTTAAAACCTTCACTTCTTTCTCTTTTAGAACACCTATTACTACATGATAGTATTTCCCACAAGATTATTTTTATATTTTATTTGAAGTTGGCAAAAATCTTTGTGCTGAATCCTTTGAGCATACCTCTAGTGATAGATGTCAGATCAGCATTGTGTGGAAGAACTTTTATTTGACAGGTTGATGACAGGAAGAAGCCTTTCTCCCAAATATAAGATGTAACTATAAAACCTTTCTTGAGATTAATGTAATCTTTTGTTCCTATGCATAAAGGACTTATACATTCTTGCTTCAAAGAAATAAGTTCATGTAATTAATTTGAATATGGTAAAATCAAAACAATTGAAAATAAAGGAATGTATTTGTTCATATTCAAATTGTTCAAGATATTTTATGTGAACTAAATGTGAAATAGACATCTAGTATAAATATTTAATGATAATGTATGTTATTTTTATAGGCATCACCAAAGATCATTTTGGATTTACTCACTGTGCATTTGAAATATACTGTAACCAAGTTGTATCTTGGTAAGATATGACTTCATTAGTATCAGGCAATATGGCAGCAAGATATAATGAGAAAGTGCTAAAAATAGTTTTACCTCAAATCCAGCTATGATTTATTCTAATTTATTATGAACACTGCCTTATTCCTCCTCTGGTATTATCAAATAATTCTGCATGTCCTCAAATATCGCAAGAAGAAGAAATACTTTTTTAAAACAAAAATTGGCATATGCAAATAATCTCTATTTTCTTTTCTTATACCATTCATAAATATATGAGGAGTAAACAGATAAAATTTCATTATATATCTAATTATCTATACATGTTCATCTTTATGTCTGAGTTAGAATTATCAGGATAAAATCTTTATTGACAGATATTAAAATATCATTCTATTGATATGTAATACAAATCTACTTAATGTATGAACACAAAAGAAATTCATATCCATTCCTAGGGATTCTTGTTATAATGTACTTTAGGAACTAACCAAAATTCTGCAATGTTTTCAGATGTGAGAAGGAAAAAAAGTGAAAGCATGGTGAGATGTCGAAACAGATTGCTTGTTTTCAGATTTATTTTCATCTCTAGCTTTCTTCTAGGCCTTCACCCCTGAGTCAGTTCTGTTTTCTCTCTGTAACAGACAGATCGTTTTCTTGAACAAGGTGCTTTGCCCCAGCCTCAAAATAGACACAGGCAATTACTTTTGGGCTTCTCTGTTTGTTTGTTTACTTTACACAAAAATTCAGTCTGAAAAATAATATTATGAAATGGCCCAATCAAAATAGTGAAGACGACTATCACTTGATTTTTTTTTATTCTTTGAAGGTAATGCACATAAAAACCAGTGTAAACCCAGTAATACAACAGTCTTCAAATATAGTGATATTTTCTTAAAAGTAGAAACAGTGAAGTATATTCGAGAAGAAATTTCTGGCCATTTTCCTCATTAAATTTAGTTTCTCACATACTTTTTGGAGAGACATAAAATAAGTACAAATAGATTGGAACACAAGCATTATAACAGCATTTTTTGTGTCTATAAACTTCAGCAAAATTTAATCAGCAAGAATTAAGTACTGTACTACCAAAGAATTCAATCTTTTGGATTTTATAGCAATAATATTTTTAAAAAGTTGTTTGTTTTCATTGAGAAAGAATTTGCATACCATAAATTTCACTCTCAATGCATGTAACTTTGCAGATATTCGGTATTTACATTTAGATTAACCTTCACATCTACAAGATTATTATTATAAATTAGCATGGTAAAATGTCATCTTACCTTACAAAGGAAGTTGATCTTAAATCCCAAAGACTGGGCATTTCTTGAGCCTGAGTTCATGTAGTTTCCAACCAAAAGAACTAACTCTAAAAGTCTATTAAAGCTTTCACTTTTCTTCACTTCTTCACAAGCAAGAGTTACGGCTATGATGCTTGGTTTGATGTTGTTTACGTGTTCTTCAAATGTGAGCTTGAAAAGAATGCTATTGAGACGAGGCCGTAACATTTTCACTGAGCTCATCTGTAAGATAAGGAATACTCTATGAGAACATACATTGAAAGGCTGTTATTTTATCTCTTTAGTGGGGAAAATTTCATAGACAATATTGTAAAAGTCTACATTAAAGCAAATTGTCCCTGGGTATTCAAAAATATTATTTCTGTTTGCTTTAAACATTCCAAAGGAAAATTGTAACAAAGTTTCAATAACAGTTTCTTATTCATCTTTTAAAAATAAAATAAATCATTCTGATAGCATTAATAAATTATTATTGAAGCTGAATAGTTGCTATATGACAATCACATAATGATAAGCTATCTATAGAATTCAAGCTGTCCAAATCTATACCTCAAGTGAACTAGGGAAATTTATAAATAGGAAATTGAATTGAGTGAATAGTTGGGCCACAGATAATAGGTATACATGATGACAGAAAATATTAGTGAAACATTCCCTAAGAAATTACCTATTACTATGCAGTTTGAAATCAGACACCCAGCTCTGATTGACCATTTAATAATTTTAAATGTAAGATTTCTATTCATAAAATACATTAAATATTTATATATGTTCTAAGGAATTTCACCTATGTGACAGATGTTGATGCTAAATAATTAGGTTATGATAAAATCACATGAACTTACTTTCAAGTAAATTCTTTAAGAATTCTATGTTGGTTTCTTCAAAGGAGTTTAACTTTAGTTTTAATTAATTGTTTAAGATTGTATCTATACATATATAGATTCAATAAATTATCATATATACCTATGGCATAGCTTCTACATAAATAATTATTTTTAATTTTTAACTTGCTATAGCTCCAAATTATTTTACTAGTTTTTATTATAAACAAATTCTGGAAGAGAGGTTGGTGGAGAGTAGACACCATATAAACATTTATCTACATACACACAATGAACAGAAATTATTAACCATCCTAATTATCTTTGTTTTATAGTTATAGCTTATTTTCGTAAATAAAAATTATGAGCACAGCTTAAGCACATCAAATAATCTGAAAATACTTAGACAACATAAATGAAAGTCTTTAAAATGTAAAGTACCTTCAAAACCAGCAAATGCGCTGGGTGTTTAATGAAAGCTTCACTATAGAGGGAAAATAAATGGACACATATATACATATGCATGTGTATATATGTGTGTGTATGCATATGCCAATACACACACTTAGAACTAAAGTCAAGAGAAATAGGTAGAGAGAGAGAATAGTATAAGAAAAAGCTTATGGGTTAGGCATATATGAGTTTTACAAATAGGTGCAGAAATATGGACCAAAGTATCTGAAGATCTCATATAAATGCCAAGAAATTGGAAACTAATCACATCAAAGGCTATGTATCTGTTAATGTTCAAATTATTTTATATAGGAATCTGGGATTCAATATGTATTTTCCCTTCATATCTGACTCTACCACTGTTTCCAAATCTATTTCCACTTTACTTTTATTTTCCTTTCACTAGTAAATGGTCATTACTAGAAAAAAAAGCATGTTTTCTATCATTTTATATGTTTAGGGAATAGTTAGCTAGTGTCCTTGATGGCTGAAAAAGCCATGCATCTACTTGACCAGCTGCTAATCACCATGGAAGTGTTCTCCTGACCATGCTTAGCAGGGATTCAGTTCGCCAAGGTGCCTTTGTTCCCAGATCAACAAGAAACATAAGCCTTACTTAGATGTGCAGAAACTTTTAGTCTTGCTTATGTTTTAATATCATATGTCTTCATTTATATTATTATCCTTACTGGGCTTTGTATTTAAATCCTTGCCCTACAAGGTCAGAGTATGAATTTGATCTTTATTTTTTAATAATAGCTCCTACTGCAATAACATGATCAAAACTATACTAAGAATAGTAAAAATAATAATGGCAATTAACATTTATTGAGTACTTTATTACAGGCATTCTTCTACATATGTATGACACATGTATAAATCTGTTATGGTATGGATATTAGGTGTCCCCCAAAAAATTCATGTGTGAGATAATGCAAGAATATTCATTGGTGAAATGATCATATTATCAGAGCTAGAATGGAATCAGATATGGATTAACAGGGTGGAAATAGCTGGAAGTTGGAGTATGGTTGGAGGAGGTAGGTCAGTGAGGATGCGTCTTTGGGGTTTATATTTTATCCCTGGTGAGCAAAGCTCTATTTTTCTTAGTTGCTGTATCTTCAGCTGCTTTCGTCTGCCATGCTTTTATGCCTTGATATTCTATGGTATCTTAGGCTCAGAGGTTTAAAACCATGAGACAAAGTAAATTCTTCCTCCTCTATGTTGTTCTTGTCAGTTCTTTGGGTCACAGTGATAAAAAAAAAGCTTATTAAAACGTAATTGTTTTGATTCGGCATATAATGCTTGGAGAAATTATTATTATCATCATCATCATCAACATCAACATCATCATCCATCATTGTAAAGATTAGGAAATGTCAAATTGAGTGTTGGAGAAATAGAGATTTGATCATACACATCCATGTTACAGAAGCCAGATTCAACCACTACATCACACTGCCTCTTAAGTCTTGTTAGGAAAGAGAGACCAGCAGCAGGGAGACCATCAATAAATTATCAAAATGGCTTGAGAAACAGTTAATAAGGAAGAATGCTGGCAGTAGGCAGAAAAAGGATTGGCCTGATACAAGAGTCAAAAATCAATGGGACTTAGCAATTGGCCATGTACAGAAGAAGGAAGTCGAAGATGGCTCCAAGGATTTAAGTTTGCTCTGAGGCAGAACAATATGGGCATTAATTAAGGCAGAAGGTGAGGCTGATATGGTGTTTTATTACGTGGCTTTTGTTTCAGAGAATGAATGTAAGTGAATTTCCTTCTCATGATCTCATGGTATCTACACTCCATTAAAGAAAGACTGCACTTTGAGAAGTTCCAAGCACAGAGTCTTGCATATGTTAGACATTCAAATATTTGCTGATGTTAGCAGCACTCCTCAGCTGACTAGCCATTTTCCAGATATTCTCCCAAGAGGAAGAATTATTGAACAAAATTAACAGCTGATGGAAATATTTTACCCCCGCCCCCACAAATACCTCTGATTATGATGTCAAAACAGGAATGCAAGGGAATTATCATTGCTAAACTGCTAGCACTGGATATTAATCTGTTATCAATCACCCTGATTTTAGGAATAAGTGGTATATAACAAGGGAGGCCAGAGCTGCCTTTGGATCTGATAAATCATTCTTCATTCCCCTACAAGAAGGTTTAATACATGGCAGATGATAAATATGATAGGTGCTTTAAAAATAAATTATTGTAAAGTTAACGAATAAATGAAACTCCTCATTCACACAAATAAAAACTGCAATATCAACAAAGTGCTGGATTAAGAAGATGCATAGTTTGAACAGGTAAAATAGAAAGACAGGTAAGGAAGGAGGAGGTATCTTATGCAAGGTCATTTGCTACAAGGCGGGTCATTCCAACAATACTGCCCAGGACAACAAATAACTCACATTTGGAATGCCACATTTTTAAGGATATATTTTGAGAGAGATTTTTTTACCTAACCTCAGGAGGGAAAAGTATAAATTCCAGACCTATGATGTATGCTGCCATGGAAGAAATAGGGACTTCTGAATTACAGAGATATGAGATTGAACTACAGTTCAATCACTTTCTAACTGTGTGGCCTAGTGTAAGTTCTCTAATGTTTTAGAGTCTTTACTTCCTTATCTGGAAAATATATTCATTAAATAGTCTATGCAAGTTGTAGAAACACTTAAATGAGATACTATGTATAAGGCTTCTTTTCATACTTACTGAAACAATGTAAGTACTATACACAAATGGCTATTGTTGTCCTTACCTTCTTTATTTCTTCTCAGAAAGTTTCAGTAAGAAGGAAATATGACTCCTAATTGTTCTCTCAAACCTGAGGGAAAGTTCCTCTCACCCATAATTTAAGAAAGGGTGCTTCCAGAGTCCACTGAACAACACAGCTTATTATCTTTAAACACACCACAAAAATTGTGCTGTACTCTACTGAGCCATAATTAATTCATAATATACTTCTACCATTTGAAATATTATCTTTGAAAATGTGTTCTTTTAAAATCAAGAGACTTCGAGGAGGTGAAGCTATTTGGGTATATCTCTTAATACAAGCAACAAATCAGTATGTATTGATTAGACCTAGAGAATTTTTGCAATCAAAAATATGCATTTTTATGATCAGACCAGTGTCTGATATATAGCAGACAAACTTCCATCAAAAGATTTGGCTATGTAAGGAAATATCTTGGACAATCAAGCATGGGAAAAAATAGGAAGCATTGAGCTATATCCCCAGCCATTATATATAATTATTAAATGGCTCATGTCTCATAAAGGCACTTGAATGCACCTAAGTGATATAAGTAAATAAAACAAAAACTCTGCTGAAATGTGTGCTTCTTTTGCATTGTGGTCCTTGGCAGCACTTTAGTTGACTGGCATTCTTTGTTTTATAATTCATTCCTTAAAGTGCTTATGGGAAGCTGACCAGGGTGTTGTATTACGTAGGGGATTTATTTGTGTTATGAGGTACTTGTCTATCAAATCACATCAAGCAACTCTCATTTCTTTAGCTGATCTGCACTATATTAAAAAAAAAAAAGTGCATTGACAGCTTTAGTGAGAGCAGTTACAACTGGGTTATTTCCCCAAAGAGTTAGACACAGTTTTGTTTATATAATTTGAATTTTATGTACTTCATACCTATACAGCTGGTGAATATTGATCTACTACCAAACTACCAAAAGAATTCAAAGAAACAGAAAAAAAAATGGCAAGAGTACAAAAATTATGTGTGAATGCACAGATCGCTATATGTCACATCTGCACTCATGTGTGATGTTTGGAGTTATTTCTATCACTTTTCCTTTTGAACTGCTAAGAAACACACCCTTGGGCTGGAGTTGTGGCTCGGTGGTAGAGCGCTTGACTAGCATGTGTGAGGCCCTGGGTTCGGTCCCCAGCACCATATAAAAATAAGTAAA